GCTCACCCCAGTATACCATCACTGTCCGCGGCCAGCCTGGCCCACAGCCCCCTGAGCACCTCTGTGCCCTTCTCCCTCAGGCTTGTCAAGGATTCTCTTAAAAGATGGCTTCCCTTTCTATTCCTCATTAACACTTATCAGACCATCTTTTCCCTGACATTTCACCAGAGTGTGCGCCCCATTACTTGGACCTGCCAACTTGGATTCTCCCTCCCCATTTCTTTTTTTGCACAGTCACCCCCACACTGTCCAGCTTCCTCTGAACAGCTCCACACTGAACTGTTCACACTGTTCACACACCGTAGCACATACCCTTCCCCTGGTCATTCATGTTTTCATCCAAAATGCAGGCCCCAACCCCATCTGAGTACAAGGCCCTAGAATGTAAAACAAGCAGAAAGAGGCCACCAAGGAAAGACATAATTTAAGAGTGATAAATATGGTGGCTGAAAGCAGCACCTTCAGAGGGGCGAGTGAGGAAAGGCAGAGCAGACTGACTGGGAAGGAGCTGGGCGGTGCTGCGGCACGGAAGGGAGGCGAAGAGGGGTACTTTGGACAGACTGAAGCCAGGTCATACAGCCTTGAAGTGGGGGTGCAAGGGATTAAATGCTAGGGGCCAGTGCATGCTTCAGGCAGGGAGGTGATTAAGATCTGACTAGGGTTTCAAATCATCTCCCTGGCAGCTGTGTGGAGAAGGAGTTCTAAGGGCGTAGGAGGGGAGGAGATAGGGTCTCCATGGTGGCCCCAGCAGCTGGCCAAGCGCTGTCAAGATGATGTGTGATAAGCTCTAGAACATAAACATTAGATTTGACCAAAAGAGGGGTAGCATAGGGGTGACCTGACAGGAGGGATTCAGTGGCCCAGTGGTAACGAGAGAAGTAGAGGCCATAACACTGGATCACTTGTTGGAGTTTACTGTGGAAGGAAACAAAAGAATGGACCAGTCAGCAGTGGGGGTATGCAGTCAAGGGGGAGTTAATTTAAGCATATTTTATATATTCATATAAAAACAGTTGGTTTCCTGGAGCTGTTACACCGAAGTACAACTCAGGTGGCTTAAAACATGTCCCTCGCACAGCTCTAGAGGCCAAAAACCTGAAACCAGGTGTCAGCAGGGCCACACTCCCTCCAGAGGCTGAAGGGAAAACCTGTTCTGCGCAGCCTCCAGCTCCTGCTGGCTTCCTCAGCAATCCTTGACTCCAGTTTCTGCCTCAGTTCTCAATCGGCTTCCTTCTTTCTCTCTGCATGTCTATTTTATAAGCATGTGATTGAATTTAGGGACCACAGATAACCCAAGATAAACTCCTCCTCTAAAGACCCATATAAGGGAATATTCAGTCATTTGCCATATAAGGTAATTTTCGTAGGTTCCAAGGATTAGAACATGGACATATCTTTTGGGGAAGCCCCATTCCACCCACTACAGTGAGAACGATCTGGAAGAGAAAGATAACACTGATGCGGAAGAAGGGCAAACCCAAGGACAGGAACCCTTAGAAGAGCTGGTTGGGCAGGAACCAGAGCTGAAAACCATCTTTCCTTACTGTTTCAAAACACTAAAAGTTCATTTTATGGTATGAGAACTGTAACTCAATTAAGAAAAAAGAAGTTTCTGAAAATAATTCAATATCCCCTGCCAATTCCCATCTCAGTGTTCCGCTAAAAGGAACTAAGTGGAGGTCAGTTTTCACCCAGGGCACAAGGTCTTGCTAAGAAGTCTTCAGTATCTACTTCATAGATTTGACATGTGAGGCAAAAGAGGCTGGGTGTGGGACAGGATCAGAACCCATGGCCCTCCAGACAAATTCCACCCTTCCATTCTGCCATCTCAGCCAACCCACAGGCCAAAGACCAGCTTTTTTTCCAGTGGAGCTAAATGAGGGTGTTTTCTGGGGAGATGCAAAACTACAGCCTCAGGGAAACTGAGGCCTTTCTGACATTTGGGTGTGTCAAAGTTACCTGGAGCTGAGCTGGGGGTAAGGCACACAGGGGATGATTAGATTGGGGAGGAGGAAGTGTTCCTGCAGAACAGCCTGAGAGTTAAGTAGGAGCCAGGGAGCAGATGTCAGCAGACACACCCGTTGCACACCCTGGCACGCACATCCCCACCTCTGTGCATCTTCACCTCTGACAGCCCTGGAGCCCCACACCCCCTCATCACTGCACACCTCCAACAGCCCTGATAGGCAATCAGAAGAAGCTGGCTTTCTTTTGTTTGTGGCTACCCCTCACTCAGGGCGGCCAAGGCCAGTGTCTGATATGAACAGACACTCCTCCTTTTCAAGTCTGGGCAAAGTTGTCATTTTCGTGCCTAGCATCACCTCAAGGCTCTCTTTCCTTCTACACTGTAATCTTCCTCGTGTTAATAAATGCCTTGATTGGGTGGCTGGTGAGGACAGCAGTCTCTGCAGCCTGAAGCAAGTGGCGCACCGCTGACCACATTGCCTGGCACTTCAAGCCTTGGGGCACACATGTCCAGGCCATTGCATCTGTGAATTGAGTGGAACCAAGGGCAAATCTAAGGTCTGTTTTTGCCCAGGTAAGAGGCATGCCTATGCTCTGGCCCTCACTCCCCAGGTCTCACCTTTGTCCACTACAGCTGCTTGCCTTTATAGGAGAGACACCTCCTTCCCAAACAGGGCACTTCCAACTTTACTCCCACCTACAGTTGCATGATCCAAATGAGGTCATACATATCATATCAACAAAGTGAGGGGGAGCCTAGGGATCCCCTGACTATAGCAGAATTCTCCAACTTCGGTGAGGTAAGAAGTTCCAGATACTAGAAGATAGTGATACTAGAATTCCCCACATACTCCACCCGAGATTGTGATTTGGGAGGGCTTAGCCAGCCCTGCGGTCCGCATGTTAGTCAGCTCAGAGGAGGCCGTATGCTCCAGAAGCAGCAAGTGCTGGAACATGGAGACAAGAAGCCCCCCACCTCCTGCAGGCATCAGGACAACTCAGGGGAACCAGGTTCACCCTTCCAGTCCACAAGGGTAGAGGCTGGTATCTGGGACAGGTCAGATACTGCTAAGTGTTCTTTCCTTTCTACACCTGCATCTTTTCCTCCTTTCTCTAGGAAAGATTAGGAGCCTGTGATTTATCTCCCCCCCCCCTTTTTTTTTATCAAGACTCATCCAGCACAAGCCAGGACAAGCACTAACAGATTAAATTTCCAAGCAGCTTCATGCTCAAGGAACACAGGGGCTTTCTCGGTAACTCCCACTAAGCTGGGGTTGCTCTGGTTCTCTGCCAGGAACAAGCCTTCCACATGCTACTTAGGCTGAGGGACTATGACTGCCCTGCAAAGTCAAAAAAACCACCAAGTAACCAATATGAGGAGCAAGAATCAGGAAAGGGACCATAATAAGAAAAAGAGTTGCCCCAAGTTTTGGAAATACTGAGCTTTGTACCACCAAATGGGATGCACAAGGCCTCCTGGTCAGAAGCCAAGAGCAGCAGCATGTGGAAAGGTCCAGACACGCAGATCAGACTCAGGGCCTGGCGAACCAGGAGGTTCCTGTTCCTTTGGGACCCAGGACACAACCTGCAGAGACCAGGCTCAACATGTCTGCCTGCTAAAAAGGCTCTGGAAGCATTCTCAGTCCCACAAACACCTACAACCAGGTGACTACAGGCACGATACACTTCCAGAAATGGGAGTGCACTTTCTGCCCACACCACACTGATAACTACGCACAGCCCAAAAGATGGCATGATAGCACAGTGGGAATTTAGTGCCAGCTAGAAAGTCCCAACTTTGATTCTCAGTCCTGATACACCATCCTAAAAAAGACACTGCTCTAGTTGAGCCACCATCCCCTCATCTACAAGATACAGGAAACAGTACCCACCCTTTGGAATTACTGCAAAGGTCAGATGCTCTGAGTTTAATATATGTAATATAGAGAGAGTTGACACTCTATAAAGAATTCCTTTTTCCTACTTCTGTAACTCAGTTTCCCTGTCTCAACTCCAAGTCCAAAGAGATCCTAACCCACCCAACTTAGAAATGCCAAAAGACCTGAACTCAAAGCTAGAGTAAATGCTTTCAAAAAGCCCTAAAGCTCCTTGATATTCCTGCTCTCAAGCTCTCAACTTTTAACTCACCAAAACTGAGACTACACTCCCATGGTGGCTCCAACCCCTGAACCTATCATTTCCTGATATGGGAGAATAAGTAGGCAAATAAATTCTCCAGTTTTCTGAATTCTTGGTGGCACTTTCCAGCCTGCTAGGACAGAACAGTGGAAGATATACAAGGTTACATAAAGGAGTTAAGTTCTAAGGCTGCAGGAAGTAGGTTAACACTTCTAAAAAGTATACAGAGGTGTTGAAAACCATCATAAAGCAGGCAGAAATTACATCAGTAGCGTTCCCCCAAAGGCCCCTCGCACCCCTAAGTGGGCCAGGTCCTTATTTCTCTGGCAAGTACATTCTGAAGTTGGATCATAAGTAGTGTCCATTCTCACACAGCTGTTAGACCCTGCGTCCAAAGTCGCCCTGGAACCTCCCCAGCATTCACAGGACCCAGTCAGTTGGGCTTCTCTCCCTCTGGGTACGCCCTGGCTAAACCTGGTGGAAAGCAGCTGTTTCTCCTGCAGAGGGGGAACGAGGATCGCCAAACTCCCAGCACCCCGGCCTCCACTCGCCTTTGGTATGGATGGTGCTTTCTCGGGAGTTTCCAGGATGTCCTGCCGGCAACCGCGGACCGCACTCCCGGAACCCCCTAAAACTTTCTCCGGTAGAAATGTCGGTGGGGACAAGCTCTCCTCCGGACGGCCTGGGGTGTAGAGGCCACCAGGGTCCCCGGGGGCACAGTGAGTGTCCGAGGATGACCGGCGTCCCCCAACCTGTGAACCTAACCTAACTCAAAGCGCCCTGCGCTCCAGCAGCCAGCCCCGTCGGGGGTCCCTAGGGCGGGAACCTCCGCCTAATGGAGGTCTGTTACAGCTCCTGGACGAGGACCTAGGATTGAGGGAAGCCGCGCGCCTCACCTGAGCGGGACGCGGATGGCCAGGTACCTGTCGACGGCCACGGCCAAAAGGCTGAAGATGGAGCTCTGCGTGAGCACCAGCACGAAGCAGGCAAGGAAAAGGCAACTGTAGAAGTCAGTCTCGATGCCCAGGCTGATGACAATGGCAAACGGGATGGCGAACAACCCCACCGCCACGTCGGCCGCCGCCAGAGACACCAGGAAGTAGTTGGTGGGCGTCTGCAGCGTGCTCGACGTGCCCACCGCGGCGCACACCAGCACGTTGCCCGCCACAGACAGCACGGCGATGGCCAGTTCCAGCGCCACGTACGGCGCGTCCACAGAGTTCTTCAAGCCGCATGTCTGAGCCTGGGCCCCGGACGTCATCTACCTGGGTCTCGCAGGGTGCCGGGCAGCCGCGTGGGCTCACCCGGGCACGGCCGGAGCGCCCGACCGCGCGTCCACCAGCCGCCAGTCTGACTCTCGAGACTCGTGCGCTCCGGCCTCGGGCTCAGGGGGCGGGACCACAGGGAGGTCACGCCCATTGGTCGGCGCGCCTGCCGGTCTCGGACTTCCCGCGGGGCCCCGCCCCGTGCCTCCCGCCCCCAAGCGTTGGGGTCTGGTTGGGGGCGGGGGCGGGCGTGAGCGTTGCACCATGAAAGGTTCTCAGGCTGACGGTGTCTGATGAGGACTAGTTCCCCAACTTTCCCTCAAGCTCCAGCTCGGTGGGTGTGCCCCGAGTGCTCGCACTTCTCTTCCAACAGCTCCAGGAACTGGACTTCGGCTTTGCCCGGAGGAACGAGTCGGTCTCACGGAATCCACCTCAAGGGATCCCCCCACCCCACTCCACCACTCCACCGGCAAGCTAAGCGACTTGAGCACCCGAAACCTTCGGGAACTCCCCTTCCCGAACCTGGTACTCCACTGGGCATGCAGGGTTCACCTTGCAAACTGGACGCGCAAGCATGGGAGGGAACGGATTGAGTTCGCAGGCTGTTTCCAGCTACACATTTCTACCAGACCTAAGCGGTGGTCCCCCAAGGGCCAGACTCTTTCTGGGGCGCTGCAGCTTTGCACCACCCCACCCCTACCCTGGGTGCCAGCTCTGTACCACCCCACCACACCACCCCTACCCTGGGCGCCAGCTACCTCAACCTCACCTGCTCTTCTGCCTCTCCTCCTCTGCCTCTGTGGCTCCAATTCTGCCTTCTCTTACCTGGTGGCATACACCTTGTCCGTCACCTCCTTCCTGCCCCCCTAAAATGCCAAAGTTTCCCAGGCCACGTTTGTTTCGTGGTAACCCTGAAACCTCAGGCTCAAGACCTCACATGTGACCTTTATACTCTTAACTCCCAAACCTTTCCTTGCAGCTGGAAGACCCTCTTGAGAACCAGACCTGAGCACCCCACCGCCACTGCTGGACTCCACAGGAGAAATCTAGGGCTCCCAAATCCAGCATATTAAAAACTGAGTTGAAACTCCCAACCTGTGCCCTCTCCTAAGTTACTGACCTTACCACTCACTCTACCCACCTCACATCTAAATTGTTGTTGATTCTGCTTCCAGGGCTTTTTGCTTCTCCTCACCCCCAAAGCCATGCCCTAGGCCAGTCCCTCCTTATAGACAACTTTCATCTACCTCCTCCACCCCTCCCTCAATTGCAACTCTGTCAAGCTTTTACAGTCATCACAAACACCCTTATTCTAGAACACACCTGACATGCAACATTCCCCTACCAACATTCTTTGCTAGCGGTCATCAGATAAATTAAGATGGCAGACAACAGGAACAGATGCTAGTAAAATAATATCAAGTAAAAAATAAAACATGGAGGTGACAGCTAAAGGACAGAGAATTTCTTTTTGGGATATGAAAATATCCTACATGTGGTGATAGTTGCACATCTGAATATATTTTTAAAACGATCCAATAGCTGTAATAACAGTGCTAAAAGCCTTTAGCTTCCAGTCAACAATTATCAGTCAACCAAGACATGACCAACATCTACCATAAAACAAAGCTTCCCCAAAAGCCTTCCCAGTAGATGTCCTGCCTGGGTGATGTTACAAATAGGGACTTTTTCTATGGAGTTTTGCTACTTCTGTAATGCAAAACCAATGTTAAAATTATTGGAGCACCTACAAATTTTACTCACTGGCTATTTGAGTTCTCATGTCACCTTCTCTACCACCCATGTTTCCATTGTTCTTGTCACAAACTATTGTTACCACAGATGAAAAACCAGAACCTTAGATCAAGGAACCACCCAAAAGCACTTCCTTGGGGTTCAGCAGAGTATTCCTGGGGAGGTGGTTTTTGCAGATTAGGAAAGACTTGGCAATGGGGAGCTATCTGGGTAGGGAAGTCATGCTGGGAGAGGTGTGGACACGGGGTTTGTTGAGGGACAACTATGCCCAAGAGAGTGGAGAAAGGAAGAGTGCTTAACCAGGGGAGAATCCTGCTGTCTGGATGGACTGCTAGGTCATTCTCGTGGCGTTTCGGCGTTTCGTTTCGGAGACCAGGAGGTCTTTGAGCAGGGAAGAGTGGAAGTATCCGGCAGCAGTGAGGGAAAGTAAGCGACAGCAGAGGCAGCAGCAGCAGTGGAGGCCAGCTGGCTGCTGTGAGCGCTTCCTTGGAAACCCTCAGCCTCCTGGCTGTGGGCTCAGCTCCAACATCTGTACCAGGAATCCCCACCTCTCCTTTCCTGAATCCAACATCCTTCAGGAAAAGTTGCCCAAGTCACCTGAGGAGGAAGGGTCTTTCAGGGCAAGGCTGTGAAAGTCATGGAGTTTTTGTTTTAAAAGCCATTGGCGTGTGGTGAACAGAGTCCAGGCCTCAACGGCAGAGAACCAGGTTCATTCCCAACTCTAAGGATGACCTTGGGTGAGTTCATTAATCTTCCTAAGCCACAGTTTCTTATGCATTAGGCAGGGTAACAATACCTGCGTGGCAGGGATCAGGCTAAAAAGGGACAGGAGGAGCTGTCTGCCCTGTGACTATCTGCAGGACCCAGACTTCTTGAAAATTACTGGAGCGTGGAAGCATTTGGATAAATTCAGTCTAGAATCCTAGAAACCTGAATGAGTCTGTAATTGGTGAAAATGGAAGGCTGCATTTTGTGAACCAATTACCCATGTGTAGCCTCCTCCAGGCTGCTGGGGCCGTCTGCCCATCTCCCAGTCCTGCCCCATCTTGCTTAGCAGAAAACAGGTGGCATCTGGATGATTCCAGATTAGGTGCATTACTTACATGCTCCTAAGGGAACCTAAGTACATCTAACTGCACTAAGTACATCTAAAAGACCCAGGCGGTTTTTCTGCTCTGCTATCTTTCATTACAGGGTTATTGTGATAAAACATTGTTGAGATGGAATGTATTTATAAGAGGGGAAGGGAAAAGTTCAGTGCAGATGACTGAGATGGCAATACCAGTTGAAGCTACCAAGAGACTGGCCATAGATGTAAAAAGAAAAATCAGAAAGTGAGATGTCCATACTGGACACTGGAAACCTGACATATTCCTGAGAGTATAAATAGTCATATGCAGGCGTATATGCTCAGGAAAGGCTTCAAAGTGCTTTATTGCTTACTCTGGGCTGTTTGCGTGGCTCTGTATAAGCTTTGCTTTAAGCTATCTGCTGGAGCATTGAGAGGGCATCCCAACAAACATGCTGAGCTTTTCTGCAATGACTGAAAGACCTATGGTTCAAGGCTTTTAAGAGCCACCACGCATAACTGTTTGGCAGCACTGCTGGGTCTTCAACCACGTCTGTGTATATTCGGCTGCTCCGCTTCACTGTGTCCATCCCATGTTTGACACTGAGTCCTTAGTGAAGGAAAAGGAATTGGACCCTTTCTCATACATCCTATTTCTTTCCAGTACTGATGGCCTTTAGTGACACTAGCACTCAGGCCACACATGAGTGTCCTGGGGAGGATATTTGGGTTAGAGTGAAGAGTTGTCTTTGTGCTCAGGCCTTTAGTGAAGGAAAGAGGTGTGTTCCAGAAGGAAGGTGCCAGGAAGGTAACAGAAATTGAATCTGGACTGATTTCTCTCCTAATTCCTTGTCTGCGTGGCTCCAAGATTGTGCAGAATCCTGCTGCTCTTCTTGTTCATGGCTCAGCCCAGCTCATTCTCCCATCCCAGCTGCCTTTTTTTCAAGGACGGTGTGGGAATGGTGCTGAAGTTTGCCTCCAGCTCCCATACAGACTGACAGCTTTTCTCTCCTGCCACCTGTGAACCTTTGGCACCTGCCATTCCTTTTCTGGGAAGCTTGTTTTATTTTCCACCAAGTGCTTAAGCTGCAAGCCCAGGTCATGGTGCCCTGTCTCTGGAGATAGTTGCAATTCCTTTCTTTGAAATGAGCTGACTGCAGAGACCTCAGGTGGAAAATGCCATTTTCACCAGTGTGGTTTGGAAAAACACATCATTTGAGGAGACTGAAAGAATTATCAGGAAATTGTAGAGTCCATTAATCAGGTCTTCATCACATATTTGAGTTATTCACTCTGCATTTATAACTCACTGCACTGTTCCCATGAGCAATGTGGGACATTCCTTCAGGCCATATGCTCATCGCCAAGAATTGGGAGCTTGTGGCAATGTTGCTCTTTGGCTCCCCAACAGAAATCCCCCTTTCTGGGTTGTGAACAGTACCCCAGAATGGTAGTAATGTGCACACCCCCGTGGGTAAATCAGCGTCTCTACATGCCAGTCTAAGGGATATGACCAATTCTGGCGAGTAAGAGCTGGCAGTCTTCTTCCTTCTTTTCTTTCTCCAGTGAACACTGCTGCTGTGTGAAAACATGCTACCTAGATCCATGGCAGCCATCTTGCAACCATGAGATGGCCAAATCTGGAGTGAAAAGCAATACACTGAAGGGATAGGGAGCAATGGAGGAAAGACCGTACATCCCTAACCGTATCTCTGACTATCCCAATCAACCCCCCAAACAATTTTCTCTGGACTTCTGGTTTGATAACACTATAAATATCCTTATCTCTGAAGTCACTGTTGCCATGCTTTCTGGGACTTTTAGCAAAGCATTGAGTAAACAGCAAATAGAGGTAAATAGTCTTTCTTGTAGATGCCAATAATTCCATACATTTGGATACACCACAGGTTCCCCCCTCCCCCACTGTTGGGGGAAAGGATGTACTGAATGAATTCCATAAAAACAGGTTTTATGGACCCCACCCCCATCCCAGACCAGAGAGATCCAGAACACCAAGGACTATAAGTCTCATATCATCACCACCAAAGGGAAGGTTGCTGGGAACTGAGGGTAGAGTTAAGCAGCCAGGTTTGGTATGTAACCAAAAATGCAGGCCTCTGGAAGATTTTTGCTGGTTTTCAGCATACTGTTGGAGTATGCTGTTCAGCTCAGCAGAACTGGTAGGATGCATTCACCAATTTATCTCTCTTTCTCCCAGAGTTATTCCTTTCTTC